ATTCATCAGTAGACTGCGGTCTTTATGCAAAATAAAAATTGTTTAGGTTAATTGTAAGAAACAGAAATTAGATGAAAATGTCTTTATAATAATAATAATTATTATTATTATAATTAAATAAAATTTATAATTTTATATTTTATCGATTCATTTTTGTCATAAATGCATAAAATCCGCAGTCTATTCATTAGTAAGAATTAATTGCAATGGTAAAAATTAGAAATAAGGTGTTCATTTAACGAATAATTAAGGTTATTTTCATCAATTGGAGCATTTTCTGTCATTTTAGTCCACGAGGGACTAATTCATACTTCTGCAAAGTTTCATCAAAATCGGCGTGTATCAGTTTTACCAATCCTACCACTAACCCTTGTTAGTGACTTGTAAACCTAGTGTTAGTAACAAAAGAAGAAGAACTTGTAATTTCAATTTGAGTCGGTTAAATCGAATTTACATGGAAGGGTTAAAATAGATCTGCTCACAGAGGGTTAAGGTCAAGAATTAGGTATCTTTGAAAGTCCCGTGTTGCAGCAGGTGAGGTTCCTAATTATACGGCGTCGAGACTTTCTCCTTGCAGCGCGGGAAAGTATGGTCGCCCACGCTGTTTTGCACCAACCATTCAGTCAAAGATGACTACAAAGCACGGAAAGTTCCGTGCATATCCGCTAAAAAGCAATTCGCCAAATTCCAAGCTCCTTTCAGCGTTTTTAACGTTTTCAAACCGCCGTTTTTATGTCACGAATAGGATAGAGAGGCCGGTCACCGTGAGATGACCGATTGTTGTGCCTTTAGTTTGTTTGCGGGCATAATTAACCAAAATAAAAGACGAAAGAACAAACCGTTGACCACTTCACAACCGTTGACCGCTCCACTAGCCTAATTGACATTTTCTTTTAATGAAAGGAAAAAGTAGACAACTAGACGTCGTTAGACAGAGAAACCTTTTTTTTTGCATAGATGAATACACTCGAACCAGTTTTTGTGCCACTTTCTTTGTACAATTTTTTTTGTGCGACTCTTGTTGTGCGATTTTTGTACGCGGTATATGAAAAATGTTTCCTCAAAATTCATAATATGCATAAAAAGTGTGCAATAGAAAGTAAGGAATGTAAAGATTACTTTGTCGTAAGATTGTCTGAATGTCCAAATGTATTTCATGATCATGTTGTATATTTTATCAATTGCACATCTGCACATTTACATGTTACATCATAAAAGAAAATAAGTCAATTCAGAACGAGTGCGAGGTAGTTTTCCCAAGTGACGAAACTTATTTTGAACCACGTAGTAATAATAAGTAGCGGTACAAAAGAATGTTATTAAAAAGAAATCAGTAAGATAGTATATACTATATAAGACGTTCAAAAGTCTGCACATTTTGAAAATTTTCTATGCGCAGAAAAAGTATGTGCATGTGTAAATTAAATATTTAAAAATATAAATTGATTTTTGTAACTCGTTTGGAAAAGCAATTTCTAGTTGCATCGCGAGATTTTTAGTTATTTTGTATGCAAGACATTTTTTATGCGGTCCCTATTTAGCGCACAAACACAGTTTTGAGTGTATATATTATGTATACTACATGATATCGTGGAAACGTAATGGATTATAAGGATATCGATTCGGTTTACTTACGATATAAATGCCATATGGCTGCGCGTATGTTTCACCCGCGCATCTGATAAACGTAACGAACGATGTATATGACGGAATTTCA